TGTGCGCGGGGGTGCCGGGCCTGGAGGTGCTGCTCCTAGGGGTGCTGAGCCTGGGGGTGCTGGGCCTGGGGGTACTACTGCGGAGGGTGCTGAGCCGGGGGGTGCTGTGCCTGGAGCTGCTGAGCCAGGGGGTGCTGTGTTGGGAGCTGCTGAGCCTGGGGGTGCTGAGCCTGGGGTTTCTCCTGCTGCTGCGTCTCGACGGGAGCCCCTCTCTACACGGGAGCTGCGCGAGTGGTTTGCTCGCCGCTGGAGGCTTGCTGCTGGAGCTGGAGCTTCTTCGACCGTCGAGGGTGCTGGTGCTGCCGGTCTCGGAGCTGCTGGGCCTGCGGGTCCTCCTGGAGCTGGAGCTGCTGAGGGTGTTGGTGCTGAGACCACTGCTCTCTGTCCTCGCGGTGGTTCTGCTGCTGGTACTGCTGGAGGTCCTGCCGCTGGAGGTGTTGGTGGCGCTGGTACTGTTGCTGAGGGTGTTGGAGCTGTCCCTGCTGAGTCTGGAGCTGCCGCGCGGCCTCGGCCGTACTTCGTTCTGCTCCTGCAGCAGGTTCTTGGTCTTTCTCCTCCGGTAGAGTGTCCACAGCCTGTCCAATCGCAGTCACTGTTGGAGCCTTCCTCTCCTCTGCCTGCTCCCTCTCCTTACACTGGTCCTACTGGAGGTCTTACTGAGCGTCGTGAGCCTACGTCTCGTCCCGCGTCGCCTGTTCGTGCTGCTCGCGCTAGTGGTCGCGGTTCGCGTCAGCGTCCTCCTCCTGTCCCTGGCACGCACCGGATGTCTCTGCGTCCGTCCACTGCTCCTCTGCGTGCCCCTTTGCCTTCTCCTCCTGAGTCCTCTCTTCCTGCGCTTGCCGACCCTGAGTCGGACTCTCTTCGTGCTGCCAGTCCTACTGTCACGCGTCTGCTTGCTACTGTCGTCACTGACCCCTCGTTTGAGTCCACTGCTGCGTCTGCTCTTGTCGCTGAGCTCGTCGACTTTGCTGCTAGCTATCGTCTAGACTACGCTGCTCGTCTTGTTGTTGAGTCTGCGTCTGTCTGTCCTCCGTCCGTCGAGGGTGAGTGTGCTCTTGGCACGGACGTCCTAGAGGACAGGCAGGAGGAGTTACAGTGTCTGGCTGCTGCTTCACCTCATCTCGCGTCTGTACTGCTTGCTCCTGAGGGAGACCCGGATGCACTAGACATCCCGACTCCGCGCTCTTACGCGGAGGCCGTAGAGGGTCCCTACTCCTCTCAGTGGCAGGCAGCTATGGATGCAGAGATGGCTTCCTGGAAGTCCACAGGCACCTACGTTGACGCAGTTCCCCCTCCTGGGGCGAACATCGTCAGTGGCATGTGGATCTTCCGGGTGAAGCGGCCACCGGGCTCTCCACCTGTCTTCAAGGCGCGGTACGTTGCTCGTGGCTTCCGTCAGCGGCAGGGAGTTGACTACTTTCAGACCTTCTCTCCCACCCCGAAGATGACCACTCTTCGGGTGCTGCTGCACATAGCCGCTCAGCGCGACTACGAGCTTCACTCTCTCGACTTCAGCACTGCGTTCCTGCAGGGTAGCCTGCACAAGGAGATCTGGCTGCGCCGTCCACCTGGCTTCACTGGGACTTTCCCTCCTGGCACCCAGTGGAGCCTCTGACGGCCAGTCTACGGTCTCCGCCAGGCACCGCGTGAGTGGCACGACACACTGAGGACTACGCTTGCGGCTCTTGGGTTTGCTCCGTCTACTGCTGACCCGTCGCTGTTTCTGCGCACCGACACTTCACTGCCGCCGTTCTACACCCTCGTGTACGTCGACGACTTGGTCTTTGCCACAGCGGACACTGCTGGACTCGCCTACGTGAAGTCCGAGCTACTGAAGAGACACACGTGCACAGACCTGGGTGAACTGCGTAGCTACCTTGGCTTGCAGATCACTCGGGACAGAGCACGCTGCACCATCACCTTGACTCAGTCACACATGGTGCAGCAGGTCCTTCAGCACTTTGGCTTCACGTACTCCTCGCCTTAGGCCACTCCTCTGTCTACTCGCCACTCACTCTCAGCTCTGCCTTCGGATGAGTCCGTAGAGTCGAGTGGCCCGTACCCAGAGCTTGTTGGCTGCCTCATGTACCTGATGACCTGCACTCGACCTGACCTTGCATACCCTCTAAGCATTCTTGCACGCTATGTTGCTCCTGGGAGACACCGACCAGAGCACATGGCTGTAGCGAAGAGGGTATTGCGCTACCTGTGCAGTACGTCGGGCATGGGGCTAGTGCTTGGAGGGCGGAGTCCAGTGGTCCTTACAGGCCACGCGGACGCTTCTTGGGCTGACAACCAGGCTACGCAGCGGTCGTCACAGGGTTACACCTTCAGTCTTGGTTCCGGCTCTGTCTCGTGGCGGTCTACTCGTTCGTCTTCGGTTCTCAGCTCCAGTTGTGAGGCTGAGATCTACGCCGGGGCCATGGCTGCACAGGAGCTTCGCTGGCTCACCTACCTGCTGACTGACCTTGGAGAGCCGCCTCGTTCTCCTCCAGTGCTGTACGTAGACAACAAGGCCATGCTGGCCTTGTGTCGAGAGCAGCGTTTGGAGCACAGAACGAAGCACATTGCTCTCCGCTACTTCCTTGCTCGTGAGCTCCAGCAGCGTGGTCAGTTGCGACTTGCGTACGTGGCCTCTGAGGCCAACACTGCTGATGTGTTCACCAAGGCACTTCCGCCTTGTGACCATCAGCGCTTCTGCACCCAGCTGGGTCTTGTGCCTGTCTTGCCTCACTTGCTCTCTTCTTGACTTTACTTGTACTGTGACATATATATACCTGCTTCTGCTTGTCTAGCTTTATATATATGTCTGTACTCCTGCATGTGAACTGGCCTCTGGCCCTACTCTTGTGCTCGGACTGTGTGGTGACTTTGTGATCCACCCTGAGCTTGCTTTGCTTTGCTTTGCTTGACTGGTCTTCCGACCCCTTGTTCTCCCCCACTTTGCCTATGGGGGTGTGTCAGATTATTATAGCTGATGCATGTTTGTAGGCTATAGTGGGGTAGCACATATGGGGTACAGCTTTCTAGGGTTGTATTTGTACCCAACACTGACTTAGTCATTCTCATTCCTGGTCATTTATTTTCACATCGACTTGGTGGGCCCTAGGCACAGTTCCCACTAGGGAACCTGCTCGATACCATGAGAAAACCGAAACGAGAATGAATGAACTATGAATGAACTGAGTACAAGTACTAACCCTAATTGGGTTGTATCCCTTATGGGCTACCCCACTATAGCCTACACAATAAGCACAAGCTATATGTTCTGATACGAATGTGAAGGGAACTGAATCTGCAACACATCCGCCTGCTAAAGTACAAATCGTTACAGCGTTTTGAACACATTTCAAAAGTTAAAGTTTACGTGCGCTTATAATAAAACAAGTTTTTTCAGGGGGTGCGCTTATAATCAAGTAGGGGATATAAGCGCCACACGCCAATGAAAAGCGACAGGCGCTTATCCAAGGGTAGCGCTTATATCCGGGGTATGACGGCATGACGCAATCGCACTCATATCGGGCCGATCTGCACCGCGTCTTTAGGGTTGATCCTGTTGGAAATCCGAATACAGTATAACGAATACTGTATACGAGTGTGTTGTTTGGTTTTAGTGTAGTCTCCTTTAGAAGCCTCCAGGTTCTACAATAATTGTCACAATTATTGTAGGGACACAATTATTGGAGCTCAGCATTATTGGAGGGTAAAGGGTGCAATTATTGGTACACCATTATTGGTGTGAATGGGCCATTCTGTGAAGGGGTAGATGGATGCATAAATATCCTGCTGTGTCACTTGTTGAACATTATTGAGTAATCATTTGTATCACCATTCTACTTTTCAATGATCAATGCAAGATTTCTATCTTGTTCTTTCCTACAAATACGTTTCCGCTACGCTGGCACTATGCCTTTCTAGCAGATCCCTCCCAAAAATGTGGCATGGTTCTCTCAGGGTTTTAGTATTTTGCCCCGTCGAAAAATATATGACGCGCAAAATGGACACGTGCCAAAAATTTTGCCCAGCAGGACCAGTTTTGAACATAATTTGGGCCTCGCGTGAGCAAAATCCCATAAAGTCGCACTTTTTGAGTAAACTTAGGACTAAATTTGAGAGAAATCATACGGTAAAATGAGCTGGGATGTACTTTCCCTATTCCAAACCTCCCAGGGGCAAGCCAGCTTGGCGAGCCTAGATTCGCGCGATAAACCTGAATCACCACCTCCCCTAACCACCTGAATTCCGCAACACTACCCATCACCCAGATGGGCGCAAATATCTCCTGCCCGCACCAGACGGAACCCCACCAAAAGTTTTGGCGGGAAACATTTGGTGCGGTGGCAAAATTTCGTCTCTCGCAAGGCTAAGTGCACTAGCCTTATTGGCTGCGAAATCATGTCACCACTAACGTCTTTTCGTTTTTCGAACGAGGTGGTGCTGAACTTGATTCGTTTCCACGGGTTCATCGACTGCCTGAATTTGGTGACTCCAACAGACTGATAAATTTCACCACTTGGCTCTCTTCCCACATTCGTAATATCACTCGACGTTGCAAATGCTGAAGACTGAAACCAGCACTCGTCTTAGGATCGAGCATAGGAGGCTAAGGGTACATTCAACTCACGCCATGGCGTCGTGGCAACTCTCCGTTCTCGTCCTCTGCGTGCTCGCGTCACTGCCGGCGCCTGCTGCGGCGCGACCTACCAAGGAGGACTTCATTGACGAATTAAAGTTGACCCGAGACGCGCTTTCGAATTCCAAGCTGAACAACCGATATGACGCCACCCGCACGCTCCTTGACCACGTCATCCCTCAACTGGGTAAATCCTGCAGCATTTCCTGCAAGTTATGCACGCCGGTTTTGTTTCGTTCCCTGGTAGGACTACTGAATTTCGTTGTGTCCTTTGGCTTGACACTGCTTCTGTTTTCTACATGACGATGCAGAGACCGACTGGAACCCAAATGAGGATTTCCTAAAAAAGGTCGACCACAAAACCTTCATGTTACCGGAGGACCGCGCCATTGCCTCCTCAGCCCCGGACGCGCTCGCCATGATGGTGAAAACGGGCCTGAAGCGCGGTGAAGTCGACCCCTTCACCAAGCTTTTTCGCGCTCAGATGCTCGACGGCGTCTACGAGGAGGACGACATTGCGAAAGCGTCAAATCTGAAGGACGTGAATGGTCGCAGCGTGGGCAAGGAGGAAATTGTGGACGCGACGACTCAGGTGAACGCAATGCAGATTGGAAAGGGCAAGAACAAAATGAAGATTGGATGGGGCAAGAAGAAAGTGAGGATTGGAAAGGGCAAGGCTAGGATTAAGACTCCTGGGATTTTCAGGGGAAGGTTTCTTACCATCCATGGAGTCGACGCATCGCAGCCGGATAAGTAATCAAGTTTGTCTGTGTTCTTCTTGGGGAAAAGCAGTGCTTTTCTTGCAATGCAACACGTAGGGCTGGTTGGCAGATAGGCCAAGTGGTTGAGCGCTTTACCAGTTCCGCTATTTTCCTTTTGCACCAAGTTTGTGTAATCCAGCAGCTTGTCTCAATGTCGCTTAAGCAACCCCCTAAAGAAATGTTTTGTATCGGTGCTTGGTTGATACGGTGATTGTGTTTGTATGGTGACACATTGCAAATGAAGTCGCGAATGTGGCAACAGCATTACCACAATGTACGGCAGACAAACTACTCATGCAAGGGCTTGGTAGGGTGTGGCGGTGGGCGGGGTGAAATGAGGTGCAGGCAGGAATGAGTGAGCGAAAGCAAGGGAGGGAGCACACAACATAGCCTGTATGGCGTGCACCAACTGGCACAGGAGCACGGGTACAAGGGGGGAGAAGAATGCTGAGATAGAGCACAGGGGAAGAGACAGAGGATGAGACAACCAATGAAGGGCATGCACCTGTAGGAAACATGGTTGAGTGAGGGTGCATGTGGGAAGAAGCGTGTTCTGTAAGGAAGGACGGAGCAGAGTCTGAAGCATGGAGTGGAATTTTCACTCCACATCATTACCTGTGCCTTCCCCTGCCATGTCTCTGCCTTCCCCTACCATGTGTGTGCCTTCAACTGCTGCCACTCATGCTGCTGCTATTCCTATGCTCTTTGCCCCATATGCTCCCTGCACTGGCTCTTCTCCATGCAGTAGCTCTGCAGCAAAAGCGCTGCTGTCTGGAGCCCTGCTGTTGCTGCCCCTTGTCTTGCTGCACCCTGCTTGCACTGCACCCTTGCTCACGAGTGGGGAGCAGCAGCAGCTAACAGGTTGCACTTGGATATCATGAATCTTGTCTTCATCTCGTAGTACAGTGGGTACTGAGACAGAATTAGAGGGAAAAAGAGGGAGAGGCAAGGGGTGGGGTGTGATGAGTAAGTGCGAGAGGCAATGAGTGTGAGCGGCAATGTGTGCAAGAGGCAATGGGTACAAGAGGCAATGCGTGCGATGTGCCAAAAACTGCAGGCGCGATTTCCCAACACATCTCTCTACATACCCACACATGCACCCACGCACGCACCCACATGTGCCATACCATTTTTAGGCTCAGGGGTTGGTGAGGGTTCAAAGGTTGGGGCTGGGAACAAAGGTTGGCGGAGGAGGGGCTGGTGGAGGGCAGTTGGGAGGCGCAATTGTTAGAGCAAACAGAAAGGCGGAGGTAAGGGTTGAGTGGGAAGGAAGAGGTGTCAGTTACCCATAGTATACATAGCAATACAAAAGGATGGATGTCCATATGACCAAACATTGTCCATGAATGAGAGCGTGGTAGCAGCATGAGAGAATGGGGTGAGGGAGTGAGGGAAAGGTAGGAATATAGCAATGGGGAAACAAGAATGTCATTTATGCCACACATGCCAAAACATGTCACGAATGCCCCAGATGCCACAAATGCCCCACATGCCACAAACCCATCCCAGTCACCCACCCACCCACCATCGGTCCCTGCTTGAGCGCACGACGTTGCCGCGTGAGGGAGTGCCGGGGAAGCAGCATGCCTAGTTGAGACGCTGTGTTGGAGAGTACCACGTTGAGCATCACTCGCCCGCCGCTGTCTGCTGCCGCCACTCATCACGGGGGGGAACAGCTGAACCCATCGGCACTGGAATCAATGGGTGGAGTAAAACAAGTGGGTCACGCAGGCACGGACGGAAAGGTTAGTCGAGACGGACGGGAGTATGTGAACAGCAGCAGGTACTCCCTGCCCCGCTGATCGCAACTCACCCAATACACTCGCAACCTTTCTCAGCATTCCTCACCTCTTCTCATACCTCCTCACCTCCTCAAGCGTTGGCCCAGGTGGCTGAAGGCACTCACAGCCCTGGGCAGCAGGGAAAAGCACCCGGAGTTGGTCTGCCCATTCACCCGGCGCATGTGCATTAAGGTCTCGCCTTGCCTACCCCGTACGCCTACCAACGCCACCATTGCAACACGGGATGGTCTTTCAGTCAGCAGGGGTTGGGAAAGACCGGAACAGTCGAGTGTGGATTCAATGACACTGGGCATTCAAAGAGTACCAGTGGGAGGAAAGATCACCAGTGGGAGGAAAGATCACCACTGAGAGGAAAGATCACCACTGGGCGCCCAATCATCACGTGGGAACCACGCACCCCGTCCCTGCCAGCACCACACACCCCGTCCCTGCCAGCACCACGCACCCCGTCCCTGCCAGCACCACGCCACCATCGCGGAAAAGGGAAGTGCGAAAAGCAACTTGAAAGTAACAAAACCGCAACTCAAGGGTTACTTGAAAAACGCAAGAAAAAAGTCAAGGTTCAAAATCGTGGGTGCTGAAGTGACTTGCGAAGCAACTTTTCCGTCACCTTACTGTCACAAACTGCATACCAGTTCGCAACTAACCCGGTATGCGGTAAATCAACCTCAAAGTTGCGGAAAGTCACTTCTGAGCAACCACTTCAAAAGTGTCACGAGTTCGCCACGTGGCATACAACGTACTCGAGATGAAACTGAAACATGCTAACGTGGTTGACACTGTACGCTAATGATAACCGTCGGATCGGATTCATAACGACGCACGAAAACTAGCCACGTGGACCAATCAGACAAGAGTTTATGGAATGCGATATCGAAATTTTATTGGCTGGCGAGTGGAACAGCGACAGTTTCGATTTGCGCTTTTCTCTTATTGGTATGCGATTTTTAGCACAAATAAAATATACAGTATACATAGTTTGTATAACAAGGCTTGCACACGCACAATCTACCCAACCATAGTAAAATTACTGTCAGAACATTATAGCTTACTTATTTGTGTAGGCTATAGTGGGGTATCCCATAGGGGGTACAACCCAATTAGGGTTTCCTATTTGTACTCACTTCGTTCATAGTCATTTCATTCTCGTTCAATTCTTCTCATGGAATCAGAGCAAGTCCCCTCCTAGGGACTGTTCCTAGGGCCCACCGAAGCGCGCCCCGAGGCGCGCGTTCTTTTTTTAGCGACCCTACGTGTCGCCCTTTCCTACGCGATCCCGCCGCCCTTTAGTCGCGGCCCCGCTTTGCCCCGTCGGCCCCACTACGGCCCCTCTTAGGCCCCGCTACGGCCCCGCTTAGGCCCCGTCGGCCCCGCTTAGGCCCCGCCACGGCCCCGCATCGGCCCCGCTTAGGCCCCTTCGGCCCCACTACGGCCCTGCGTCGGCCCCGCTTAGGCCCCGTCGGCCCCGCTTAGGCCCCGCTACGGCCCCGCGTCGGCCCCGCTTAGGCCCCGTCGGCCCCGCTTAGGCCCCGTCGGCCCCGCTTAGGCCTCGCTACGGCCCCGCGTCGGCCCCGTCGGCCCCGCCTCCGCCTCGCTACGGCCCCGTCGGCCCCATCGCCCCCCCCCCCCTAGGCCCCGCCGACCCTGCTACGGCCCCGCTACAGCCCCTCGTCGGCCCCGCTACGGCCCCGCTACGGCCCCGCTTAGGCCCCGCTACAGCCCCGCTACGGCCCCCATTGCAGCCCCGCCGCCTCTCTCGCTGCGGCCCCACCGCCCGTGCTGCAGCCCGCCGCGCCACCCGTGCAGCCGCCCGTGCGCCGCCCGTGCAACCGCCCGTGCAACCGCTTGTGCAGCCGCCCGTGCAGCAGCCCGTGCAGCCGCCCACCGTGCCGCCCGTGAGCCACCTCAGCCACCCGTGAGCCGCCCGTGCAGCGGCCCGCGCCGCCCGTGAGCCCCCCGCGTCACCCGAGCCGCGCGAGCCACGCGAGCCGCCGAGCCGCCCGAGCCGCCCGATCAGTCTACGGTGCCGGGAGCCGGATCCTGTGGGCCTGCTGCTACTGCTGGGCCGGCGGAGTTACTGAGCTGCTGTGTTGCTGTCCTACTGAGCTGCTCGACCCTTCTTCTCTGGTGAGACTGTCGGCTGCTATCATGGCCACCCCCAGTGTCCTGGCCTTTGACGCTGAGGGTCGCGCCATTGACTTTGCGGTCTGGGTCGAGGACCTGCAGCTGTACTTGCAGTGCGATTCAGTAGATGACATCTCTCTCTTTGACTTTGCCTCTGGCGCTGTCCCTGCCCCTCCTGCTGATGCTGACCCCACTGTTCGCTCCAAGTGGGCCACACGCGATGCTGCTGCACGTCTTGCTGTGCGTCGCCACCTCCCTTCCTCCGAGCATGCCCACTTTAGTCAGTGCAAGACCGCTCAGGCCTTGTACGACGCTGTAGTTGCGCGCTACTCCTCCCCTTCCACTGCTACACTGAGCCGCCTCATGCTACCGTACCTCTTCCCTGACCTTGCTGCCTTTCCCACAGTCACTGACCTCTTTACCCACCTTCGCACTAGTGACACTCGCTACCGAGCTGCGCTTCCTACTTCCTTCCTCGCCGAAAACCCCCCTCCCATGTACATCACCCTCTACTTTCTAGTCACCCGTCTCCCTGAGTCCCTTCGTGCAGTTAGGGACCAGTTTCTCTCTGTCTGTCCCACCACCCTCACCGTCGACCTCCTCGAGAAGTCCCTGCTAGCGGCCGAGAAGAGCATAGTTGCTGTAGGGGCCTCTCGTGGTGACCCGCGCACCCCCATCTTTGAGGGGTGTTCTCCTTCCCCCCTGTTACCCTCTGTCGCCTCTGCTGCTGCGGCCGACCTCGTTGGTTTAGAGTCGTTCGGTGCGGCGTCTGCCCCCAGCGGTAGGCGCCGCTCTGGCAGGAGCAAGGGGGCCAAGGGAGCGGGTGGAGCTAGCGGGGGCGGTGGCGGAGGAGGTGGGGGCGGCGGGGGGAGTGGGGGTGGCGGTGGGGGTGGAGGCGGGAGTGGAGGTACTGGTGGCGGTAGTGGAGGCGGAGGTGGCGGCGGAGGTGGTGGCGGAGGTGGCAGTGGGAGCGGCGGGGGCGAGGGTGGCGGTGGCGGCGGTGGCGGCGGAGGCGGAGGTGGCGGTGGTGGAGGTGGTCGGAGTGGCTCGTCCCAGAGGAGCAGCACTGGGGGTGGTCAGCGCCAGCAGCAGCAGCAGCTACAGCAGCGCTCTCGCGACGTCCCCGCCCCTCAGCAGCTCCGTGAGTGGTACTCGCAGCGTCAGCGTGGTGGGGCGTTCGGTCCCTGCACCTACGTCCTTCGCACCGGCGACCGCGCGGGTGAGCAGTGTGGGGGCACCCACACCGCTCGCCGCTGCTTTGCCCGCTTGACCGACGCTTGGCGCCAGCAGTTTCCGGAGGCCTCTGAGATCACCCGCTGGGGAGAGCTATCTAGGGCTGGTGTAGCTGTTTTTGATCTTGACTTTGATGCTATCCTTGCTGCCATGTATGCTGTGACTGTTAGTGATGATGGTGACTGTTACCGGTGTTTCCCGCCCAACCCGGGCATTGGTACTGCTGTGTCAGGTGCCAGTGAGGCTGCTGCTCTAGGTGCTAGTGCGTCTGTGCTCTCAGGTACTAGTGAGTCTGCCCTCTCAGGTACTGCGTCGGCCTCGGCCTCCCACACCTTCACTCTTGACTCTGGAGCGTCTCGCTCCTTCTTTCGGGACCGCACCACACTCACGCCGCTTAGTCAGCCGGTTGCGGTGTCCCTGGCTGACCCCTTTGGGGGTCCTGTCCTATCTCGCTTCTCCACAGTCCTCCCGTGTCCGGCGGCTCCCTCTGGCACCCTGGCTGGTCTTTACCTCCCCTCGTTCTCTACGAACCTGGTGAGTGGTGCTGACCTACAGGATGTGGGTGTCCACCAGTTCACTCCTGCTCGTCAGCGGGTGACACACTGCACAGACGCTAGCAAAGGTCGCCACCTGGCTACGTTTACACGTCAGCCAGGGTCGAGCCTGTACACACTGACCACTGCTTCTCCTCCTGGTGCTGATTCTGGTAGAGTCCCTTCGTCTGGTCAGGTGTTTTCTGCAG